TTTATGACAGTCAAGTACAGTACCTGCTGCTATCCTTCACACATATCATTAATATATTTCCAATTTTTCCTAAGAGTTTGGGGATGATTCTGAAGGAAAGGGCTTCTTAGCTAGTCCCTGAACAACTGCTGATTTAGACCCTTCCTTTCCAGACAGATTGCCTTATTTTTGCTGAGGAATACCAGGTAGGAAGAGGCCCAAGAGTGATACAAGAATGGCTTTGAAAAGAGACCTACTCCAGTCATGTTCCTTTAGAGACCTGGAATGAAAGAAATGAAATGTCAAGTTTATGTTCACTGTAGTGAAGTAGATAAAGCACTGGATTTCAGAAGCATTCTGCATAAAATATGAAATATATTGCAGAGAGGTTCTAGCTCCATTTAAAATATGATATGGTTGCTTCTTTAAGAAATGTGTATATTAACATGTAAGAAAAGACTTTTTCTGTTAGTAAAACATTGCAGACTGACTGACCAATCTTTCACAACAACTTTTTGTCCTAGTTCTAAGATCTCTATTACCTAATCTATCTGGGGAAAAGGAGTAGGGAGTGTGTATGTGTTTTGTCTGGGGGTACTGTCTGTCTCGTTTTTCCCCATAATACACACTACTTTCCTTGCTTATTTACAGGAAATATATTAGTTTAGGGAAGGAATTGTTAGATAGGGTTGATTTCTGTCCTGGCCCACTCTCCCCTTTTGGGACTCATGAAATAACCAGGTCACAGATTTTTCAGTTGAATCTTTCTTAGTTGTTACTCTGCTTTAATCTGCAGTGAAGATTTTGTAACAGTACAGCACTCTGCTACCGCTATAAGTTGTAAGTATTCTAAATAAAGGAAGTGGAAATATCTTACTGAACATTCATTACAGCTTTTTTATTTTTCTGGAAAATTTAAGTAATTTATTTAATAAAAAAAAAAAAAAAAAAAAAAAAAAAAGCAGACTTAAAGCAAATGAATGTTTTGTGGCCACAGTTCCTTACTGAAATAAGAAATAGAATTGTGTTCAAAATAAGTCAAGTAAGAAAAAAAATAGTGCTTACAAAGATGGAATTTTTTAAAAAGGACTAATTTTTACAATGTTTTTATGAAAGTATATAGATAAAAATAAAGTTAGTGTAATAATCTTTTAGTAGCTGTAAGCTTATTATGTGCTGCTTATAGATGTCTGTGTACTCTATTTATAGCATTCCTCATAAAGAATAAGCATCTAGCTAAATATGAATAGATACAGCATAATCACTTTTATATTTATAATTAACAGGAGCCATAGTATAACATCATGTTATGAAATAATGGCTGTATGGCCTCTGTTGTGCCACAGTATTGGGTCACATAAACATAGCTGGTGTGTATCATGCTAGAGAGATGATTTTGTTGATCACCTAATAGTCCTGTTTGGGTTTTTTTCTATAAATGAACTGTCAAATAATTAGTTCCAGCATGTAAGCCTGTATTTTGGGGAGGGCAGGGGCGCTGAACCTCTAGAAATTAACAAAAAAAACCAACCCAACCCCAAACCTGCCATGTTTGGCTGCATTTATTTCTGCATACCATAGAAAATCCAAACTGCTTACACTAATGTTGACAAGATTTTCCTCACTTTTGTATTGGTAGAAATCACAGGCTTTTTGCCTCTTAATACCTATAATACCTTGATACTGTTGATAGGCTGTTTGCAAACACTTCCTTAATTGTTAGGAACTTACACAGTAATACTGTTCAACGTGAAACCTTAAGGCTTAAACAGAGGAATTATTTCAGAAGACTGCTCCTTAAAACTACAAAATTTTTACACTGATTTGTATATAAAGATTTATTCTCAAAATGTTCTGCGTACTATTTTCCTACTTATCTGCTAGAACTTAACATATGTTGAAAAATGTGTAAATTACACTCATTTTGAGAGCAAAAGCACTTCAATTACTAGAACAGTGAACAAAATGCATTAATAACTTCAGTGTAGGGGGCAGTATTTGAGATAAAAGCCATGCACTTGAGACCTGCAGCTAGTTTTCTTGATTTTTTTTAAGATAAAACTTAATAACAAAAAGTAATACCTTAGTACAAATGGATTTAGATACAGTAAATTGAGTACAGAAGTTTAAAGAAGGTTCTAATCACAGATATTTTGTTTCAGGGGCAAGAATTGTGAAGGAAGGAATGTTGCCCATTGGACAAGCAGCAACCCAGGAATGCTGTTGGTGGCATCATAATGGTGCATTCACCGAAGAGGAAATTTTAACACTGTTTTTGTAAATAATGAACGTGGTTATTTGTACTGATTCAGATGATGACCTTTATGTTTCCAAATGGTTTTGAGAATATTGCCTTGATATAATAACATCTTAATTTATTTTTGAGAAATAAATTTTATTTTTTAAGTGTCTTGAGTTGCAGGAATTCAATTCAGCTGTGATTTTTTTTTTTCTTCCCCAAGGTTTTTACAAGTACAAGTGTACTTATGTTTCACATGTAACTTCTTAACAATTCTTGTTTGCGAAAATTTTTTTTTTTTGTACACATATAATGTTGTGTACACAATATCTTCCTGAAATTGACCTGTTTGTAAGATGTTTTAGGACAATGATTTGGTCATAAACAATGGGAAAACCTGCTTGCTTTATGCCAAGCAATATCTTTAAGATGTAGAGGGGTGTGGGACAGCGCCATAATGCTTGAACATTTTTTTTCTTCAAACAAATCAATACAAAAATTACCATTGATTAAAATGGCATAACAGTGCATTCTAAAAGATATTTATTTTCCATTTTCCTAAAGTACTAAACAATTTAGTACAAATGGCTAGTGACCCCAGTTTCTACCACTTTTATTTTTACATAAGTGTCAGAAACTGTGAATATGGTTGAGGTCTAAATCTGAGCCCGATTAATGCAAACATGATATATGTGCATTAAGATGTGATTCATACTTCAGAAAATCAAATTAGTAAAATTATTTGACATAGAGGAATAGAATTGAATGTATCACAATGTAAAGATTAGGCTGAAGTAATTTGTATATTAAGTCTTGGCCAACAAACCTGTTGTATTTCAGCAACTCTGCAGGTGGAAGTGTGCTAAACTCCTTCGGTAGGTGTTTCACTATTTAGGCAAACATGTTCCACAAATGCAGCTGTTCTACTTTAAGTGGTTATACAAAGCCAGGCACATGTTCTGCTGCCATTGAGAAGATCAGGATACACTCATCTAAAGTATTTCTGCAGTTTCAGACTGATTATTTTGCTATTATCAAAATTATGATGTAGCGAAAAGATACTGTTTATTTATAGAAATAAATATATTGTTTTAAATCAAGCTATTGTTTTCTACATGATAGTAAATGAAAAACATTAGAATTCGGTTGACCAGTGTAATAATTAAAAAATACTAAACTCCTTTAATTTTTTTTTTCCTTTCCTTAGGCAGATCAATTTGCCTTCAAGCTAGAAATATATGCATAAAATTTCAGAGAGATTTCTTTAAAGCAAAGGAACATGTGAGTCCTTCAAACCAGGATTTCAAGTGGAAAATATAACCAATCTGTAATTACAGTTGCATCACAACACTATTGGAATTCCACTAACATAGTGTTGCATAAAGCCTCACTTGCTCCTCCTACATGCACTAAATATAAATGTGCATGAGCAGCAAAAGCAATTTGCCTAATACCTGAATCAGCTGAATAGCATTTGCACTAAAATTGTGTATCTGGATACTAACTTCTCTGGTAAAGCTGTGGCTCTAAACATGATAAATAAGTAGAAACATAATTAAATTTTCTCTAACTTTAGATGCTGTCTTGCTGTTTTGTTGCTTGTCTGATAATGATTTCACTTGCTATACTGTTGAAGTGAATTTATTTGTTTTGGAAAGGAGGGACATAAGTTAAATGTTTCTGTAGAGTCCTACTTTTCTAGAGTTACTAACCAATTTACATCTATACAAATCCTGGAACACTTAAGTTCATTCCTTTGAACTGCATTGCATTAACATAGGCTTACTGAATCTTGGAAAACATTTTTCTGTGTATAATGGCATTGTAATTAGCTGAATGCTGTTTAAAAAGCTAATTGCTTACTGAAGTGATTCTTTTTCTGTCACTCAGGATGGTTTATAAATTTCACATGAGACCGATTTTTTAAATTTTTTTTTTCTTTCTGAATGTAGTATGCCTACAGTTACTGTATGTTAAATGTGAATTGCACCAAACTGCCAGTCCAAATGTCGCTCTGTTTAATTCAGATTTTATATGCAGAGTTGGTGGAATATTTTCACCAAAACTAGAACTGAGTCACATATCATGCTAGTTCAGTTTGGTTGGTTTTTTTTCTAATTGTCAATTGGGGAATAGAAAGTGTTCAAAGACATTTCAGGCTTAGCAAGGATGTAGTGAAGCTGGTTTGTTCAGTGCCTTCCTGTCTGTTCTCCAATGCCGGCATACTTGTTTTCTTTTTCTATTCTTGTTTGGGAACTGTGCCAAAAAGAAATGTGAGCAATCTGTCTAAACAATTTGTCTCTTTCCAAATCCACATCCCATTTTTCAGTTTACTTTTTCTGTAAAGCTTATTAGGACTCTTACAAATAAGGCATCAAGGAAGAAATCCGTTTGTCATTTTGTTGCAAAAGTGTGAGGAGAGGGTGCTGTAAGTGTCGGAAGTCTGAACAATTTAGCAGAGGGGATCCCATTTTGGGTGCAGTTTACTTTCCATAGGTGTGAGTGGAGTGACTTGATACTACAGACTGATTCTAATTGTGGCAAGGCTTTTCTTGCCAGTAGTATGCAAACTGATTCCACTATTAAAAAAAAAAGTGTATCTTAAAAATATCTCATTTTAAAGATTAATCAGATTTTGTATTAAATATAGTCTGTGTTGATAATGCAGATTATAACCTCATGCAGGAGCATGTGCTTTGTTTTTGTTTAGTTGGAGATTATCCCTTAATCATGCAGGGTCCAGGTGTGCTTTTCCAGATTTGTTGACTCAGGAAATCTGGAGATAGCATTAAAGGCCAGTGACATTATACTATAGCTACAGTTAGGTTGTTGCTTCTCTGAACAAGAACTTTTGCTTGAACCACCCGGTGAAAAGAATGTCAAGAAGAAATGTCCTCATTACAGGTTGCTCCTCAGGAATTGGACTGGCATTAGCTGTGAAAATGGCAAAAGATGAAGAGAGAAGATTTAAAGGTAACAATGTCTCTTACTTATTTCCATAAAAAGATATTCTTGAAGGCATTACTATTTTTTTTCTCTGTGCTTTAACAGGCATTCAGTTTGGTGACTTGTTTATGTTAGTTTCTCCCTTCCTACTGTCAAGAAAATACAATACAGTGAAAATATACTGCTTTCTGTAAGGTGATATTTCTGTACCTGAATTGAAGCTGAACAGCTATTTGAACTGAATAGTTTTTTTTAAAAAAAGACATTTGTATAAAAACAAATATGTTAAAATGTCTGTAGGCTGCTACCTTGGATATACATTCACAGTTGTAGTTAGCTTTGCTTCTGGCTACTGTAATCTTTGTGGAATGAGATGTACATGCCTATTTGAGAACCAAGGAAAATAATTTAGGAAAACAGTTTTTAAGTTTGCAATTTTTTCCTTAAAGCATGTTTCATTATTCCAACCCTGTGTAGGCATAAGAGGGTTAACAAAGGGACTGGGATTTGTCTTTCTGCTGCAAAATAGGATATTGGCTATGATTGAAAATGGATGACAAGGTGAATACAACAATCTGTGGTAATTCAGTTTCTCATATGTACTCTCACAGTATTTTATTGCTAACTGACTGGATGCAGAATCATAGTTTTCTGGGTAATCAGGCCATAATAATGATAAAACTAATTTCATATTTGAGAAGTAGCTTGTAAAAATAGGTATTTTGGCAACCTAAGGAAGCATCTGTCTTCCATTTTTAAATAAAAGTGTGGTTGTTCTGCTAAACATATAGATGGTGATTTTTTTTTTATAAGAAGGAACATCTGGAATTCAAAATTAGGTTTTAGGTACATAAAAATTAAAGTTTTGGTGATAATATTGTCTTCATACACTGCATGTTCTTCATTGTGCATAGCAGTTTAATTATCTTTTTCCATATCTTGAAGATTTCAGAACCACACTCTGGGAAACCAATGACAATATGTATTGAAAATAGATTCCTTCTACTTCAAGTTTTTATCTGGGTTCTGTCACTGGTATTTAAGATACGGATGTAAAAGCAATGTTCTTCAATACTTCTCAATAAGACCGCCATAGAATAAGTTTTATTTCTGATAACTGTTGCTTCTGGTGTGTTGCAGTGTATGCCACAATGCGGAATCTGGCCAAGAAAGGGCCGCTCGAGGAGGCTGTAGGTCGCAGGCTGGGCAAAACCCTTGAAATTAAACAACTGGATGTCTGTGATGAACAGTCTATTAAAACTTGTGTGAATAGTATCCCTGACAGAAGGATTGATGTACTAGGCAAGTACAGATGTCTATGCTATGAACAGATACTGGTTTTCTATTTAACATAATCTCAGATACCCTGGAGAAGTTTCATTAGTGTATTCTTTTAAATGATAAAAGTAATAATTATATACTATCTTCTGTTCAAGATTCTTAAGGCTTCATGCAGACATGAGTGGATTAGATGGATTAGATATCACTGTGCTTCTATAAAATAGGGAGGCTTGTTTTCCCTATTTACAAAGGCGAAACTTGATCACAGAAGTGTTTTGGATGAGATGGTACCATTTTTAGTAAATGTGAGAAGAGAACTTTTGCTTAAATTGGCATCTTCACATACAAGACTTTCTGCTCTATTGATGGAACATAGCCGTGTTTACAATGAAGGCAACAGCTCTCTGTACTAAGAAAGCAACAGCATTTGGGAATTAGCAAGTAAAAGAATAAATGCGAAGAAAGTAAGGGTACTTTGATTTTGTATTGATAATTGTACTTTACAGATCATTCAACAAGAACTGTTTTCATACTGTTTTGCTAAAAATAAATACTAATCTTAGTAAGATGGAAATTGCTTACACCATCAACTATTAAATCTTCTCTAATAGAAAATTATGGACCTGCCTTTATTTTGATTAATTATTAAAGCACTGCTTAACAAGGTGCTTCTGCAAACTGTATAATACTCCGGACATACTAGTTGTAATGCAGAATTCCAGCTGTATCAGTCATTCCCTGCTTATAAATATCCAGTAGGCAAATAAAAATCAATGGAAGTGTGTGGGCTTTGGCTTTGTTTTGTGGTTGTTCTTTTTTTCTTGAAGATTTGAGTGTTAACAAAACAAAAAGCAGACCAAAGTATGGTCTGATCTGTCACTTTTTAGAATAAATTGAAAACTTGTGTTCATTCCTGTAGGTATTGACTGTAGCTTCTAAATCTTAGTACTGAATTATAAACAAATAGATAATTCTTGGCTCATTTTCCTGTAATCCTTTTATAATTTAAAGAAAAGTAACTAATTGAAAATAAATTGATTAAAATGCAAAATATCAGATAATTTTAATTGGATTAAAAGCATAATTAAAAATAAAAATATGGAAACGTCAAGTGTATTTGCAAAGCTTTAGTGACAGTCATTTAATCCTTAATCCTCATTATACTTTCAAGTGCTTTCCAGTAAAGATTACAAGTTAATGTTTGTAAAGGTTATTGCTCATTCTTTTTTTGTTTTGTGCAGTTAGCAATGCTGGAATGGGACTCATTGGACCTATTGAATGTCAAACCATAGATGAAATGAAAACTGTGATGGATACCAACTTCTTTGGACTGGTTCGACTCCTGAAGGAGATTTTGCCTGACATGAAGAGGAGAAAGAGCGGGCACATAGTTATTATAAGCAGTGTTATGGGAATACAAGGCAAAGTTGTTTTGTGGTTGTTTTTGTTGTTGTTGTTTTGTTTTTGTTTTTGGTTGTTTTTTTTTTTTTAACTAAGAGTTCAGTATTCGAAATCTAAAGCTTATCTCTTTTTATCTGGGGGGAAAAAAGTAGGAGCTAGCATTATCTAACTATTGTGCTTGTGCTTTGTAATGCTGAAGTTCCAACTATAAAAAGCACAGCACTTAGACCTGGTGGTTTTTATGCATCTAGGTAGTTACTACCAGCTACTCTTAAGACATTTTAAAAACAAAACCTGCAGAGTGAATTTTTTTTAGGGTTTTAACTCAATTATTTTTATTAATTGTTTTTTTTAAATAAAATATTTTTATTATCTGGAAAATGGGGCTTAGCATTACTTTGCTCTTTCCTATTAGAAAAGATTATGGGGACAGGCAAACATGCTTATTATACTCTGCACAATAATAATGGAATAAAATTCAATCATGTCCTAGACTATTGTACCACCTTTTTGTAAAGTTTCTCCTCTCATAAAACTCCACAATACCAAATTTTAGCAATAGATAATGATGCTCCTGCTTTTGTGTTTCATCTGGTCTATCTGTATGTTTCAGTTATGACAACAGTGGCATTGATCTTACCTGGATTATTCTGGTGAACAAGGGTCCTAATTCAAACTGCAAGAATTGTTATTGTATAATACAATACTTACCATCCACCTAAATGGATTGATATAGGGCTTTTTCTAAATCACTTGGATGCAAGCTGGATCTCTTGTATAATTTTATCTCCTGCATGGCACTTAGATTCTGTGTTCATCTATAGCCTAATAAATTATTGCTGATAAATAATGCAGATGGTATTGTATGTGCAGACACCTCCATATCTTAGATTACAAAATATTTAATATTATCCAAAGAAATCACAGCATCAGCTAGGAAGAAGAAAAGCATTAGTCAAGCATTCTTTCCTAGAATGAGCAGTTTTGAGAACGTAAGCAAGAAATCAGTATTTAGGTTCAGTATACACATTTTTCTAATGTTTTCCCAGCAAGACACTAGACATTTTAGGAAAATACAAGAGTTTTTAAAACTAAGGTATTAGTATGTTGAAAGCAATCACATTCTCAGGATGTTTTGTTTGTACCATCAGGTATCTTATTTAATGATGTTTATGCTGCATCTAAGTTTGCCGTGGAAGGATTCTGTGAAAGTTTAGCTATACAAGCACTGAAGTTCAAACTGCAGTAAGTATTGATCCACTGATGTAAATTGTATTTTAGATAGTTTAAAATATATCCAGAGCTAGCAAACAAATTTTTAAAGCTTGCTGCTATCTAGGAGAAACAGGTTGAGGAACCCATGGTAATCATATATCACAAAAGGCATAGAAATGTCCACATTCTTCACACTAAAGAAGCAAGTAAGAAGATCTAGATGCTAAGTATGTTCTTTTGAACAGTTGAAGACTATTTAGCTTTAGATAAAATACAGTTTATGTAACACTTCTGAAAAATAGATTCTTTCATACAATATCATAGGAATAAAATGATAATATTAACCTGTAATAGTTTCCTTTAGAAAGGATAACAAACTTCTTGGGGCATTCAGAGATAAAGTTCAAGGGCTCATCATAAAGAGCAAGCAAATGAGAATCTATCAGAATGGAACACAGGGCAAGATTCCTATAATAATAGGAGGTGGGAGGAAAGTGAGAACAATGTGGTGTACTATTTCTTAATGTTTTAGACAGATATTTAAGAGAATGGTCCTGTTCATTGTCTGTGGGACTTTGGGGTTTGATTTGTCACATGTATATTCACATTCATGTAATTCTGCTACGATTCTTTGTGTGAAGTCTAACAACTGTTAAATACCCACTGCATCTGTCTGTGCCTAAGCATTTAGCCCTTGTGTTGTGGGAGAAGAGACAGGTATCGTCATGGGTTTTCAGAGACAAAGTGGCATCCAAACTGATTTTTTGCATATTGCTTGGAAAAGTTTGGAGGAATTTAAAATAAAAATATTGTAATAATACACAGGATATACCAGAACTTGTAAGATTTCAAGAGTATAAGATGCAGCAAAAAGGAGGTTAAAGTAGAATGGGAAAAGTTCAAGGTCCAGGATGAAGAGTGACGCTAGAGAAAAGGCTTTAATTCCAGCAGCAGCTGGAATTCCGCTGTCAAGGTCAATAGCTTGATTTAGTTCTAAAGATGACCCTGATCAGAACTCAAGTCTAGGAAGAGGTCCTATTCCCAAGAATGTTTTGATAAATAGTGGATGGGAGCAATTACTGCCTGAGGAAAGAACCAGCAAAGAACTGACCAGTAACGGTATTTCAGTGATTTGATGTAATATGCTACCGAATAAAATAAAATCTTCCAGATTTGGCAGCAGTTGAATCTGTCCACCCACAGCAAAATTCTCCATACTGTATTTTATTATTATGATGTGGAGAGATCTTGAATTATGCAATACTGACAGCTTCACAAAGAAAATCCATGTTTGAATAACTGTCCCATCTCTGTCAGCTGCTTCTAGTATTATCAAAGGAAAGCTATAACAAAGAAATATCTGTAGGATTTTATCCCAAAAGTAACGAATTTTGTTATCATACTTTAATTATTTTTCTTGATATTTGATAAGTTCTTGTGGATAAATCATCCTTAGATTTCACAGCTGTGAGACAGCAGGTAATAATGGCATTCTCTTCTGCCATGAATTAAGTTACAGTACTTCCCTGAAATCTAAGCTATGCAGATTTCTACTACTACATGTGGATGGGTAGGAGCATGGAAGGAGTGAAGTGGCACGGATTGCCTTTACAGAATGTACCATTTAATACTGCTTGCTAACATGTACTTACAGTGCAACTCTTGGATATTCTTTTTTGAGAAGGATGGAGAGGTGTATTTCCCACAGACTCAATAGAGATAGTCAATAACCAGATTATCTTTGCTTTTTGAACAGGTTAAGTTTGATTGAACCAGGCCCAGTGATTACAGAGTTTGAAAAAAAAGTGTTTGAAGACGGAATGAAAATGGATCTTTCAGCTGCAGATAAAGAAACAGCTGAGATGTTTACTAATATTTACCTTAAAAATTACAAACAAATTTTCCAGAGCCTGGGACAAAGTGCTGAAGATGTTGCAGAGGTAACTCATCAACAATTCTTTTTAAAAATTTTTCTCAGTGTTTTTTTTTTTCTTTGTAATTTATAAATGCACTGATTGGTTTTTGGTAGAAGCATTTGATTTAATTAAATGTAATTTACACAATTTAAATTTTTTTTAAAAGCTCAAGAGAATCTTGACAGTTTTAAAGAAAATCCTTTAGAATATTAAAAGAATGTTCATTCTGAAGTATTGAAGACAACTATGAATTTTAACATAAATACCACTGAAGAATTAGATGCATTTATACATCATCTGGTGAAGTCTGGACATTCTGCACAGGGTTTCCACCTTTGGTTAAAGCTGCTCTCCTCTCCATCTCACTAGTAATCTCTCCACTAATGTGAAGTTCACTCAGCTACCCCAGATCAGCAAGGCACAGTAGAAGATATATTGATGTTGTTTCTGGTGCTTGGGGATTCCTGCAGGAAGACAAGTTTAGGCAAGCTGTGGAAGGGGACAATGATTTCAGATGCTTGCTGCTAAGGAATAGTTTCGGTGTCAACTGAAGGTTCCCACATCTTGCTGCAAAGAGTACTGTTCCAGTCCTTTCCTGGTGAATTGAAGGAGAAAGGATCTACCTATTGTGGGCATATAGGCATAATTTTGGAGGACTACTCAGGATACTTAGGTGTAAGGTGCTACTACTGTGGTAAATACAAACAAAACCAGGACTAAGTACTACTTATGGCCGTAAAAATATATTTAGAAAAATTTCTAATTAAATTTTAATAAAACTACATACAGGGTTTTACATAATTTAGCACTTTATTCTTACACTTTTCCTCTGCTTAACTGAAATCTTTGTTTTTACTTCATTATTTTGGTAAAGGTTCTTTAACAATTCTATTTCTCATTCTTGACAGCATACAGTAAAGGTAATTCTTTCAGAAAATCCCCCTTTTCGCCATCAGACCAACACCTTGTATACGCCGATGACAACTCTGAAATATGCAGATCCAAACGGAGATCTACCCATTGATATATTCTACAAAATGGTTTTTCATCATGACAAAATTTTCAGTGCAAGTCTTAACTTTATCAAATTGCTGAGGTGGAGAAGTAGAAGGAGCTTTGACCTGGGAAAAGTCTCACAATAAGATTATATAGTGCAGATTGGAATTACTACTTGTAGCTATGGATAATGCAGTATGTTGTTATCTGAATGCCTTTGCTCTGTAGTTCTGAAAAGGGATTTAAGATGTTTATTTGAGCTTAGATAAGATATTCAGCTCAACATGTTTATCTTGAACTTTACAGTTCGCAAAACCTTGAAACTAAAATCCTCTAACTATGGATTTATTCTGTTTAGTGTTTGCTTTTTATAGAGGTCTGTTTTCAAGGGAACATGAATACTGACTGCTACTTGCATATTTGATATTAACCTGATCCCCTTCACTTATTAGAATATAATTTATACAGATGTGTGCTATATGTAAATTATTTAGATTCCTAATATAATTATTTTCTTATTAGAATTTGTCTAGTAATCCCTCAATCACAACTTACTTTCAGAAATCAAGTCTCTACTAGTAACATAAGAGAAAGTCTCATCAATCTTAAAATGTCACAACTAGAATATAACATATATATGAGAATTATAAATAATATTCTGAATGGTTCCTTTATATGCAATGGTTACTGGCATATTACACATAGTGGACAATAAACCTTTTTTTAAAAGCATCTCAAAGTCAAGTATCTTCTTACTGTCTTGGTACTATTTTTTGTAAAAATAATATTATCCATTAAATGCCTGCTGTCCCTGGGCTGTGCCTTGGTGCTGACCCAGCCTGAGGCAAAGGCCGGGTGCCCCTCAAGCCTCCGTGCTGCAGTTTCTCAGCATGTTCCAGCAGCAGTCCTGGTTTCACTCCAGAGAGCCTGGTGGGAGCTTGCTGGGGAGACAGGACCTGGTTTTCTCTTTCTATTTGTACTTCATACTCTGACTTCGTGCAGGGACTTGCAAGGCCTGGCCCAGCCCTGCATCTCCCCCAAGGCTAGCTCAGAGGAGCTAAGCAGCAGCCCCTGCGTCGGCAGCTCCTGCAGATACAAACACTTCAGGTAACACGTGGTTTGCTTTGCAGTCGTGACTCTTTTAGAAGGGCCCCCAGTGCGGCGGTGTGCAGGGACCTCCCTAGGCCTGCAGGCACAAGAGTGAGTAGGACAGCGCCCGCAGCAGCCTCTGCACACAGCTGGAACCCTCACAAGTGGAACAGAGATAACTCACACTGCCTTCAAGACACTGGGGTGGTGCCTGCACCCCACCACCAGTGTGTGGATGGGGCAGAGGTGGGAATAGCGGCCAGGCTGCAAATGGAAGGCAGGAGTTAAAAACAGGAAGGCAGGAATTAACAGTAGAGTGCTGCTGGGGCTGGAGGAAGCATGGCCACTCACCTCTCTGCACCCCTAGGTGCAGCCAGAGAGACTCCCTTGCTGTCTCTTGAGGGTTAGAGATCAGCGCAGGGTTATGGCTTGGCCGGAGACAGCCGAAGTGCAGGGCCTGCTGGCAGCAACGGCTGCAGCTGAGGCACTTCCCCATTGCTTAGGTGTGATTCTTTGGCCACAGCTTGGGGCTGGGCGGCTCTACCATCTGCTTTTCCTTTGCAGCCGACTGAAACAAAGAACCACCAGGACCACAGGTTTCAATGACCCTTCTGCAAATTGTTAATTTCATTTCATACAACCCCTATGCTTCTGTTTATGGAGTGGATGAAAATTAGGAAATGCAGCTTTACAGACGGATCCCGAGTAAATCCAGCATAATGTGGATAAATCGCGAATGAAGAGCTGAGCGCCAGCTGCTTGCCCTGCTTCCGGAAGGCGCTTGCCGAGGGTGTGAAACCCCCCGCGACTACAGAACCCGAGAGGCGCGGCCAGAGAGCAGCTCTCGCAGGAGCCGTCAGGCCCCGCCAGGCCGAGGCGCCCGCGCAAGGCCGCCCCACGACGGCGGCAGGGCGGCAGGTCCC